GTGTTTAATGGCATATAAATTTAATTTGTAAGTCCCTTTTTTTAGAAATGCATAAAGATATATACAAACTTTTAAAGAAAATGTACTCTTCAATGCATATAAGCGTCTTTAATAGTGTCCAGCTTGTTCAAGCCGTGTGGTAAACGTAAGAGAGAAGATTGTGCTGGATTATTTACGTACTTCAGGCCGTGCGAACATCAGAGAGGATACTATAGTTTGAGCGAAGTTCCAAAGCTTGTTGCACACTTTTCTGGACTTCTACGCCCGACACCTAGATACAAGAAACTACGGAGCGGAACACCTGGACACCCTGGGCTTCCACATCCAGTATCTAGATACAAGATACTACGGAGCGGAACACCTGGACACCCTGGACTTCCATATCCAGTACCTAGATACAAGAAACTACGGAGCGGTATACCTGCACAAACTGTCACCTAAAATACGAGGAACTATGCCGAAGCACACATATACATACATCCATACATACGTGCTCCACATGAATGCTATTAAAAACTGAATAATTCTATACTGTTGTGAAAGCACCCTTATACTAAGTGGAAATTCGGTATGAACGGTAGCTTCACGTATAAAGTGTATTTGACTGTGTTGTGTATTCGTAAATTACTAACACCATACAGAGTACAAATAGGTAAAGAAGGCACAGCAGTCAGTGCCATCTCTCGTGTAAAAAATGCGATGGACGTGCGAAGACGACGACGACGACGACGACGGACCTGAAATAAAATCATCTCGCTCGCCATGTGAATACGTCCTGATCCGGTACACTAATCGTATTGAATTTGGTGGCAATCAATTCAGAACCCTTGATTCCTAGAGTGAATGTATCAAAAAAATTTTCTCACATACAGCCGTTCATGAGATATTTGAGTCGAAACACAGGTATAAGAGATGATTCGAGTAAAGAGTCTCGGCGAGCCGTGCCCCGTACGGCGGGTTGCCTGTACTTGGCGCAAGACTCGACCCAGTCTCTTGATCGGGACGTAAGTTTTCTTTTATTCATCCATCCTTTACTACGTTACTATCATGGAGCCTAGACAGGAGGAGAGCAAACTTCAATGGCGGAATGCTGAAAAAACGAGCCTAAAACGTGGCTCTAGTAGAAAGTTCCAAAGTGAGCCATGAGCAGCGCTGAAAACAGTACTTTCTATCACGAATAGTGCCTATCTCTTGAAATGTTATGGAACAGTTTATGGTGATAATTGCGCGGTATCAGCAAATAACGATTTGTTTTTAGACTCCATAGTGAAGAATTATTTAACATCGCTGACTTCTTGCAGGTAAGTTACTAATAATTTTTGCAGGAAATTCGATATTACTAACATCAGGTAGGGAATGTATGCATCAAGTTATGCATATATTCCTTGTGTCATGTATGTGTCAAGAACATGATTGAATGCATGCAAATACAATACATAACCCGATTTTTGTTGATATTCAATTACCGAAGGATTGCAAAGCAAATTTTATAAATAAAAAAGATTAATGTTCAAATGTAGTAATGAAAGTCGTATTTATTTTCAATAGTGTCAGTGGACATGGGTAAACGGTGTGCAGTTTCAGGCTGCTTCACAGGAGATCCGGAGGAAATAAAGAAGAGGAAATTGCTTCAAGAGAAGCCAGTGTATTTATTTGGTGTCCCAAAGGTAATTACATCCTTAATATAATTTTTTGTCATCAACATCATCCAGCCATATCTGTCCATTGTCAGATATACAGTAACGTCCAATTGAAGTGCAACACTTGAATTTTTTTACATATCTGTGAAAGTATGACAGATTTCGAAAAACCAAAGACATATTTTTTAGGAAATTTCCTTCCCGTTCGAATGGTAAAGGTTTTATCCCGATCGGATACAAAATGGCCGAAAAGCAGGGGTTGGAGTGAAAAAGTGCATTTTGGAACTTTTTGAAAAATTCGAGATCTAGTAGTTCCGGAAGGAAATGTATATTTCTAATCAGGGCACGAGAGAGAGTATCCTTCGGTATTAAAAAAACACCCCCATTGAACCCCTGTATGATCACTCTAGGAGGAGTTACACTCCCTTGAAGTGAAAACACTTAAATGGCCATAACTTCCGAACGCGCCGGTCAATCTGGTCCAGTTTCTGCATGATATCATCTTTAATGATACTGCAGATTGTCACAAAATTATTGTTTTCGGAGATGATCCCGTGACGGAGATCTCGAGATTTCGCAAGCGCACCCGCAGCTTCCCCGCCATTTTTCATTGAAATAGAATTTTTCATGAAATAGAAGTTTCATTTTTATCCACGTTGTAGCTGAGATTTCAACGATTAAAAAGCGCTTTTAAACATCCAAATACGCGTACGCTAAGGGGTTTAATTATCCGTTTGAAAAAATGCCTAAATTTTGTGAGTGTCGCTCGAGGCTCTCGGGGGACTACTACCTTACCACGCGCACCAAGCATTCGTCCCTCGAGCGCCTTGAGCGGAACTCGCAAAATTTAGGCGTTTTTTCAAACGGATAATTAAACCCCTTAGCGTACGCGTATTTGGATGTTTAAAAGCGCTTTTTAATCGTTGAAATCTCAGCTACAACGTGGATAAAAATGAAACTTCTATTTCATGAAAAATTCTATTTCAATGAAAAATGGCGGGGAAGCTGCGGGTGCGCTTGCGAAATCTCGAGATCTCCGTCACGGGATCATCTCCGAAAACAATAATTTTGTGACAATCTGCAGTATCATTAAAGATGATATCATGCAGAAACTGGACCAGATTGACCGGCGCGTTCGGAAGTTATGGCCATTTAAGTGTTTTCACTTCAAGGGGGTGTAACTCCTCCTAGAGTGATCATACACGGGTTCAATGCGGGTGTTTTTTTAATACCGAAGGATACTCTCTCTCGTGCCCTGATTAGAAATATACATTTCCTTCCGGAACTACTAGATCTCGAATTTTTCAAAAAGTTCCAAAATGCACTTTTTCACTCCAACCCCTGCTTTTCGGCCATTTTGTATCCGATCGGGATAAAACCTTTACAATTCGAACGGGAAGGAAATTTCCGAAAAAATGTGTCTTTGGTTTTTTGAAATCTGTCATACTTTCACAGATATGTACAAAAATTCTAGTGTTGTACTTCAATTGGACACTACTGTATGGGCCTCTCTTAAGTTACGCCATAATCCTCTGTCACTAGCCTTTAGCATCCAGTTGTTAACATTTCTTTTTATGTCATTGGTCCATCTTGGTGGTCTGCGGTGACTGCATCTGTCTGTCAGTTCTAGGTCTTCATTTTATTAATTTTCTGCTCCATCTTCCATTTACTTGTTGAATACCAAACCACCCAGTTTTGGGTGGTTTGCCTCTATAACAACTCTTCTCCCAGAATTTCTTGCTTCACTTATATTGTACATAACAGTTAATAATATATGTTTATTTTGTAGGTTGCAGCCGAAGCATGGTCGACTGCAATCGGAGTCACGACTCCATTAACACAAAATGTTGTGTGTCGGTATCACTTTGCTGCTGAGGATATCATCACGCACTTCGTTCACTCAGTGCCTGATGAAACGGTAGTTTCTATTGAACGAGAGAGGTACTTGCTACGAAAGGATGCATGCCCAGTTGCCGGGGCAATTCGTTCAATGCCACAACCACCTGAAATCGTAAGTTTATAATACTCATAATACTGATTTATTGGGTGATCTAAACAGTATTTTCCGATTTTTTATTAACTTTGAATGAATAAATCGGAAAATACTTTTTAGATCACCCAATATTTCTTCGTAACGAATAAAGAACATCAGTTACAGGTCAGGTATATACTGAGTTTTGTTTGTACAGCTTGGCCAATGATCTGGTTCCACTATGTCTGAAGCTATCGCAATTGAGAACACGTCGGAAGCTGTGGATAATGTCAGCACACGCCAAGCGGTAGACAACGATTGCAGGTCACGGGGTCTCGCAGACAGTCACGACAACAGTGATTTTGACAGCGATAAAGAGATGACAAGTCTGATGACAGACGCCCTAGTTTCATACAGCATGGAAAATCTGATGACTGATCTAGCAGCTAGCTAGTGGAGAGAGAGTTGGGCATGGAACCGCAATGTTAAAGAAATAGTTTTAGTTTATCTGACAAAGTATAAATACAACTTGCTACATGTAAAATAAACTTATATTTTCAATACAACGTTCCATGTTCATACATCATTCATTAACTTAAAAATAATGTGAGGAATTTAAGCCTGAATCTGGAAGCTAAAACAGAAGAATATTCTAGGTATATGTTGAGGCACAAAGTTGATTAACAGTTTCAATAGGGTAAGCATCGACATTTGTTCATATATACTTTTCAACTGCGTAACATTACTTTTTTATGGCATCTTTCTCCTCTACTTCCTTTGCTGCCGACCATTTCTCCTGAGCAGCAAACCATTTCATCTCGCTCATGAAGGATAGATATCGACAACGGGAGTGTCGTCCGGATTGTTCATGTCTAAACGATAACTACAAAAATAATAATGAAATTGTAATTGTAATCGTAATACTTTATTAAAATTAATATGAACGTTGCTAACCTTCAAAGTAACTATTGGATTTCGCGGCCGGCGCCGAGTATATATAATGATATAGCCAGTCTCCGTGTATATTGTTATGCCGTCATGAGTTCTTTAGGATCACAAATAAATAATTGCACCGATTTGGAATTATATAGAGAACTATTATGGTTTATTGAAGTTGGTATAATGTAAATACTAAGGTAACACAAAGATTTAATAGGAGTAGGCACAATGATACTAATTATTCACAACTATGAATACACTCCAGGACTTCACTCTTAGCTAGGAACTTTGCGAGTGACCGCTGTGGCTCACAAGGTGTCTCTCATTGCTTTTATCTTAACGCCTTATGCATAGGGTCGTGAAGTTTTATAATTTCGTTGAGAGAATTTGTATCTTCTTCTATGTCGATAATTAATAACTACTGCTATATTTAATCAACTTAGAGTCAGCAGAGCTTTCGTGTATTTCTTAGTATTGCTTCGTTTCATACATTCCGAAAACAAGTTTTTCATAAAAAATGTTAATTTTGATTAATATATTTCAGATACTTTACTCGACAATTTTTCAAGTTTAAAAGATGGAGAAATTATTTCCATAACTAGCCGTTGGTTAGCTGGTGCAGGGGACCGAGAGAGTGGAAAGAAAATAAGAGAAGCTGCAAAATTGAACCTACAAACGACATAATACTTAATTTATTTTTTTTTTAAATTTGAATGTTTGAAAATTTGTTAAAATTAAAAATAAATACATCCTAGTCTTCCATAATTCTGCATTATACTACTGAGCTGATACTCCTACAATACACCATACATACAGCCGATACTTAGTCGACGCTCCAAAGCAATATTAGGCCAGTGGCGTCAAGCAATGTTTGACCGACGCTCCAAAGCAATATTGGGCCAGTGGCGTCAACCAGTGCTTGGCCGATGCTCTAAAGCAATATTGGGCCAGTACTGGTAGTCGGTACTGCCCCATCGCCATTCTCCAACGGTTGGACCTATGTTATCATTCCAATGAATAGCCATTGCAATACCAACTCTGGTAGTCGACGGTGCCCCTGTCTTGGTAACACCAGCGCTGACTCTGGCCCAGAGTGGACCCTGTTGCAAATTTCTACATGGGATTAAGGGCGACTGCCCATTTCACCGCGAGTACGTAATCAAATTCTTCGTGCGCATGCTGTTATTCAATTACTTGAAATGAAAGTCCCAGGATATGCGAGACGCGGTGAATCGCAAGCTAACCTCAAATCCTTCTGCGTTAAAATCAAACCGAAAGTTGCAAAAAGTCTATCATCAATGTAGGATCTTCGAAATTTCAGGGAGCCGAGAAAATAACGGTAGAACACTTTTCCACACGAATAATATATTAAGACTTTATTCACTCTACATTGGTGATTCCTCTCGACGCACTTCTTCTCCCCCACTAACTCCCCGACCAACCTATTTTTCCCGCGTGGTGCGAGACAGGTCCGTAGCTATCAGCCTGAGGCCCCGTTCCACATTCGGCCATTCCTGCTATTCTCCAGTCTCTGGAGAATCAAACTGATACAGCTTCATCTGGTCTGCTGATGATGTACTGATTCTGGAACCTTCCCAATTACTTTCCCGAATTATCTCGTAGCGATCATTTCCATCTATTCGTGAGATTTTGTACGGACCAAAAAAATTATTTTTGATTTTTGAGCCATGTCCAAATTGCGTCCGCTTAATCGCGACCAAATCACCTATGTCATACTGTGCAACTGGTTTACATCTCCGGTCGTGTGTCTTTTTATTTTCCTGTTGAATCTTCGCGATATTCTCCTTCGAGATGATGCGTAATTCTGCTTGTTCCTTATCAAACAAAGATACCATTTATTGTTCAATCACTGTTAGTAATTCGACGTCTTCGTTTTGACGCATCTTCACTCCGCAAAGGACCTCAAAAGGTGTGGTTCCAATGCTTCTCTGATAAGTGCTGTTGATTATGCGTTGAACCCTATCTACGTGCCGATACCATTTGTCGGGACATTCGTAAGCCATCTTTGTGAGGATCGGGATAATTATGCGGTTCAACCGTTCGACCTGTCCATTTCCACTCGGTACTCCTGTCGTAATTAATATGTGCTCGATGTTTTCTTCCGCGCAATATTCGCGAAATTCATTCGACGTAAATGCCGGACCACGATCACTAATAATTCGCTGTGGATTTCCAAAAATCTTCTGCTGACCCTTCCATCTGTCCAATATTTCTTTGGCATTAGTTGTCTTCGTTGGGTAGATCAACACGAATTTTAAGAATCCATCGATAACAACGAATAAAAGTTTGTACATCTTCGACGTTCATGTCATCGGTTCTAGGTGGTCGACATGGTAATTCGACAATGGCACATCGCCCTTTAGTATTGGGCTGAGTGTTCCCTCCTTCTTTCCTCTCTTACTTTCGGCCAGAATACAAGGCACGCAGCAGCTGATATACTTCTCAAGCTTTTCAGCCAACTTTGGGATGTAATATTCAGACTTGATACTCTCAAGCATTTTTTTCACACCAAAATGTCCGTTTTCGTACACCCTTCGCATTACCCCTTGCTGCATACTTGTCGGCAGCACGATGATATTCTTCTCGCCGTTTCTCTTCATCAAGATTCCGGATCACCGGATACCGACTAAGAGCATCAACGTGCTTGAGGCGAGTCCCCGCGCGATGCTCAACCTCGTACTCAATGCAGAAGGATGTACCAGATCTGTCAATTGGGGAACTATTGGATGGTCAACCCAAGGTGTGTCAGATACGAATGACGGAAGCTATACAGGAAGCAGGGTTAGCTATGCCTGAAGAAGAAAATATTGAAAAGGAAAATCATCCAGTGGAAGAGGAAGTAATGTTACGACCGAATCCGCGATATGAGTTTCGGAATCTAAAAGAAAAACCGAAAATCCTAAACGTGCAAGTGATAAAAAGTGCAGACAAAGTTATCGGCCAGGCCAACCGAGAAGTGCCAATAAAGATAAAAGATCAGGGCACACCTGTGTCGCCAATACGTATGCGGCGATTGAAACGGTGGACAAAAAAGGAAAGAAGTGCCGAATATGTCAGAAAAGTGCACTGGAAAGTACGACAAAAGTGTTCCGAAAAAGCTGCCAGAACGCGACGGGAAAAGAAAGAATGTCGTTTTAGTGTGCCGTCGCCACCAAAATCAACGGACGAGGCAACGGAAGAGGATCCAAATGACGAAACAGTGTCATCATGGGAAATCGAACAAGTGGTGCCTGAACCAGATGCCGTGGGAGGAGTAGCATCATCAACGATGACCGAAGTTATTACATTAGTTTCGAGCAGTGAAGATGAGGACAAAGAAGATCCCGGGCCGGCTATGGATACAGTGATCGAAAAAATTGCCAAGGAAAGGAAATCGCTCATGATATATAGTTCCAGCGACACAAGCAACGATAGTGTTCAAATCATATAAAAAAAAAAAAAAAAAAAAAAAAAAAAAAAAAAAAAAAAAAAAAAAAAAAAAAAAAAAAAAAAAAAAAAAAAAAGGAAAAAAGGTGATAATATCACGTTTATGTTTGTCTTTTCGAAAATTTAATAAAATAATATATTGTTTGTTACCGTAGCAAGAGAAATAATTTTTCCTAAAAACGAGTTTGGTTTTTATAAAAAATTAAGGGGGAGAATGCAACCGGTAGCAACATAGTTTGAAAGTTTCAGTTGTGTTATTCATATTTTATATACTGGTACCTGACAGGACCAGCTGTTTCGTTTTGTTAGTATAGTATTAAGCTATAGGGTTGTCAGGATGACGTAATCCAGCCTGAGGAATCCGAGATACAGGGGAAGGTCAATGGCCGTTCGTCCTGGTAAAGGTATCATAAGTTATGTTACTAAAAACATTTAGTTTTGTTCAAAATAAATTATATTGTTTATTTAATGTAAAGAGACACACACTCAGCTTACAAGATATAATATTTTATCAGTATGAGGTTTATTATGAAAGAAATACCGAAATAATAATTTCAAGTAGATAAATAGATTCATAGAAATAGAATATCGTTGAAGGAACAACGATCGGCTGTCAGGACAAGGTAATTCTGTCCAATATTCTATCAATATACTATCTATATACTATCAATAAGTTGGACGTACAACGAAGAATGAGATGATTAAGTAGCAATAAAGAATAGCCTGAGGGTACAGAATCTTGATTCATTGGGAAAAAAATATATTTGTGGGACTTGTCATGAAATGCCACGGAGTAAAAGACAATAAATATGATACGAGCATACCCTTGTTTTTCCAGCATCAATGCCCATCTCGTGACTTTCGGTGAGATGTCTATCTTACTTAATGTCTTTTGTAGAGCTGAACAGTTGGTTACCAACTTGAACTTAATTCCGAATAGATAAACCCGAACTTTTTTTACAGCTTGCACTACTGCAAGAGTCTCGAGCTCATACGAATGCAGATTCTTCTCAGCGTCTGAAGTCTTGCGACTCGTAAAATAAACAACGTGGAATCGGTCTTCATCGGCAGTTTTCTGTAAGAGCGCAGCTCCATAGCCCTCCTTACTCGCATCCGTGTGAACCTCCGTAATTGCATCTGGTCGATATATTCGTAATATCGGTTCGCTTATCAATAGTTGTTTTAGTCTCTCGAAAGACCGTTCTTCTTCCACACCAAA